GTGTTTACCACCCTGTGTTGCTGCCACTCCCCACCCAGTGTGCTCACACGTGTGTTTACCACCCTGTGTTGCTGTCACTCCCCGCCCAGTGTGCTCACACGCGTGTTTACCACCCTGTGTTGCTGTCACTCCCCCACCCAGTGTGCTCACATGTGTGTTTACCACCCTGTGTTGCTGTCACTCCCCCACCCAGTGTGCTCACACGTGTGTTTACCACCCTGTGTTGCTGTCACTCCCCCACCCAGTGTGCTCACACATGTGTTTACCACCCTGTGTTGCTGTCACTCCCCCACCCAGTGTGCTCACACGTGTGTTTACCACCCTGTGTTGCTGTCACTCCCCCACCCAGAGTGTAAGCATTCCTCGCTTCTCAACCTGAGCCGCACTCCGCGCGTCCCGGGATGTTTGATTCATCAGCCGCACCTCACCAGGTTGTCACACGTGGTCTCGCATGACTGACCACGTGCGGAGATCGCTGGAGAAGCCTCTACGAAGTCCACCTGAGTGTAGGAGCTTGAGTGACAAAAGGCCGGTCTTATATGTGAGCACAAATATTTATCTATTTATTGAAGTGCATTTCTCCCTTGTGTTGATTTGATTCTCAACCAACCAACTGCTGTATCTTGCGTATGAAGATGAAGAGCAGGTGAAGATTACACCTGTCTGAGTAATTCTGTAATTCTGCTCTGTGCGTGCGTTACACGTGTAACTCCACATTTAGTTATTTAACTGTCTGTGTTGGTTGTACGGTTCAATAATACCGTTACGTATTATAGAATTGCCATGTGATGTTTTGATCTCATTTCAAAGAAACCAGAATTTGTGTAAGTCACCTGTGAGGTACTTTTAGTGATACCCTGGGGCTTAATTACATTGTGATTAATTAATTAACCTGTGATTACCTTTATAATGTGAGTGTGTTGTGTAATTTTGTGCTTTGTAAAATTATTAATTGCTGTGGACTGTCAATTGATACCGTGTTCTGATTGTCTTCGGGATAAGCAATTACATAATCTTAAATTATAGATTGAAAAGTCAGTGAACGTAACTCATTGTTTTGATAGCTGTCCTTGAGACAGTGTATTTAACATAATTCGTAAAGTGTTAACTAATTCCTGATTGGCAAGCTGTCTGTGCGATGACCAGACCACACACTAGAAGGTGAAGCGACGACGACGTTTCGACATGAGAATGGTCCAGGACGGACCGAAACGTCGTCGTCCCTTCACCTTCTAGTGTGTGGTCTGGTCAACATACTTTAGCCACGTTATTGTGACTCATCGCCTGCCTGTGTGATAGCGTCATTAACATAATTAATCTTTTGATTAACTCTCCGTGTGACAAATTATTATAACTGCTCACTGATTGTTTAATTGTCTTTGTCGCGGAAGAATTACTGTGATGATTTACTCTCGATAGATTAACTGAGTGTCAGATTGTAATTAACGTAAATTATATTTGATTGATAGCTGTCTAGATGACAGTAATTAACGCAATTAATTAACGTAATTAAGATGTTTTTATTTTGATTTCATTAATTGAAATAAATTTTTCTTGTCTGTGTGACAGAGCTTTAACGTAAATTGTTAATTGTCTTTTAATTGATTGCCGTCCATAGGGATTTGTGATAACGTAATTAATTTGATCCACCGAAGACTGTCTCAGTGACAAGTCTTGCTCTGTTGATTGTTTTGTTTAATTGCTCGATTATTTAAATTGTTTGTATTTCATTACTTTTGATTAAATATTTGAGTCGTAGTGAGTACACCCGATGTTCAGTTAGTTCATAGATCTTGTTGTGCCTGTGCAAGAGGGCTGCGACGTGTTTGAGACGTGTTCTCATATGCCAGCCGAGAGCGGTGTGGCAGTAGTGCCACTACTCTGGTGTAGCTGTCATGGTGTCACTCTCAACATTAATGTAACGTTAAATGGTAATACACTTGTGTTAGTATTAAGTTTTGTTAATAAACTGCTATTTGTTTCCATTCATTATCTTGGTTATTTTGAGACGATTTCGGGGCTTAACGTCCCCGTGGCCCGGTCCTCGACTAGGGCTCCTTTTGTTACATACCCCCTGGGATGAGCCATAGCAACTGTTACTCCCAGGTACCTATTTACTGCTAGGTAACAGGGGCATCAGGGTGAAAGAAATTCTGCCCATTTTTGTTTCCTCTTCCATCGGGGATTGAACCCGGAACCTCTGGACTACGAATCTGAAGCGCTGTCCATTCAGCTGTCAGGATTATGTGACATTATGTCAATACCTTTCAAGTGTACTGCCCTTTTATCATTGCCGCCACCAGCTACCTCTGATAATCTTGCATTTAATTAGTGTCCGCTTCTGGATTCGAACCTAATTATACCCCAAACACTGAATACTATAAATTTGGCGTGAGGACCCTGGCGCCCACCCTCAAGATTGCTACAAGCCATTAAGGAGTCAATGACCTAGTGATTTGGAGTATCAGGTAATTGAACTCTGGCATTTGCTCTCGCCTATATTCCAGTTGGAGGCATTAATCTCACATCTGGCACTTTGCGTGTTGGCTCTTGTTCAGCCCTTCTGGCTGAGATACAGACTCACATCTGACGCCCAACGTGGAGCTTGATTGGCCAGGGACTTGAGCTCAACTGTCTATGAATACTGTCAGCATGTATATACTGAATACATACATTGGTCCACATGTATATGCTGACCAATTCGTTGCACTGAAGATTTTCTCGTTTGCACGACAAATACTTTATCACAATCTCTACACGGAATCGGAAAAATAAATTCACAAGACGAACTAGGCGAGTTGTTAATCATTTATAAAAGCCACATTGATATCAATATTCTTCAGTGTGTTTGAGGGAGATTTGTTCCAGATTGTCAGTGCATGGGAGAACCAGCATATTTTTTTTAAGGATTGAGTTCCTCTAGGACTAGGAATATAGAATACTTTCTTGCTGCACTGCTTAAAAGCTGTACCTGTAACAGTTTCGTGGTATTGCAACAAGCAGCAATCACAGATTTTCCACATTGCCTCATCCATAAATTTGTGACCATAAACCCAGAAAGTTCAGATTTTTTTTTTAACTGACTGTCCTCAACGTGTGAGGACAGGATAAACCTGGCGTCGTTCATTTAAAATTTTATTTGTATTACTTGACTTACAAGGTGTTGTTTACTTTATTGTTATGTTGTTGATTTATTAAAGAGTTTATTGGATAAATCTGCGGGTCTATGTACATGACTTCAAAATATATTACCGTCCATGTGGATGGAAGGAGGACAGCACTGGATCTGCTGCTTGTTTGGTGTTGGGCTTAAGGCCTACCTGCCTTGTTGGGCTGTTTGCCTTCCTGCCTTGTTGGGCTGTTTGCCTACCTGCCTTGTTGGGCTGTTTGCCTTCCTGCCTTGTTGGGCTGTTTGCCTACCTGCCTTGTTGGGCTGTTTGCCTACCTGCCTTGTTGGGCTGTTTGCCTACCTGCCTTGTTGGGCTGTTTGCCTACCTGCCTTGTTGGGCTGTTTGCCTACCTGCCTTGTTGGGCTGTTTGCCTACCTGCCTTGTTGGGCTGTTTGCCTACCTGCCTTGTTGGGCTGTTTGCCTACCTGCCTTGTTGGGCTGTTTGCCTACCTGCCTTGTTGGGCTGTTTGCCTACCTGCCTTGTTGGGCTGTTTGCCTACCTGCCTTGTTGGGCTGTTTGCCTACCTGCCTTGTTGGGCTGTTTGCCTACCTGCCTTGTTGGGCTGTTTGCCTACCTGCCTTGTTGGGCTGTTTGCCTACCTGCCTTGTTGGGCTGTTTGCCTACCTGCCTTGTTGGGCTGTTTGCCCACCTATGTTGTTCTGCTACTTGCCTACCTGTCTTGCTCTGCTGCTTGCCTACCTTCCTTATTGGGCCACCTGAAGCTACTGACTTTTCACAGGTCATAAGGCAAAAGCGCCGCTCTTTTTATATAGATGTGATCATTTTAACTAATAAACCTAACATCTAAGGAAAAGAATAGGAGGGTGCCAGCCTGTACCTGATAAAATGTAAGGGGGAAACAAACAAAGAGTGCTCGTAGGCGTGGGTGAAGCTATCTTACACACACGTGTCATCATCAGAATAAGGGTCAAAAGGGAAGAATCACCCTGAGTGTAGAAGCTGTAATGTGGAACTTGCCTCTACCAATCCAACCCTTTTCGTGAAAGAAAATTTGCGTTTCGTGCGTACTTAAGAATGTGTTCAGGTACGAAGGGAACGATCAGGAGAAAGCGCCAAGCCATTACGACTATATAGCACTTGCGAGGCGGACAAGGATAAGAATCTGGGGTGGGAAGGTACAGGTACGAACTGCCTAATTCTCATCCTCGCGAGTAAGATGGCTGTGAGCAGGACCATCAAGGGTGTTAACAATATTTTGGTCGTCATCCAGGTGGTTCAGCAAGTGGTATGGCAGAGGGAGGCCTGCCCCCCAGGTACTGCTGGCCAGGAGGGAGTGAAGTGGGGTAGAACTAGCAGGTGATAAGGTGCTTGATGCTGAGAATGTTGCTGCACTCCGGCCAGATATGGCAGGACACTGGTCTGTGTTGTAGGGCTGCAGGTGTGTAGAGACAGTGTAGGGCTGCAGGTATGTAGAGACAGTGTAGGGCTGCAGATGTGTAGAAACAGTGTAGGGCTGCAGGTGTGTAGAGACAATGTAGGGCTGCAGGTGTGTAGAGACAGTGTAGGGCTGCAGATGTGTAGAAACAGTGTAGGGCTGCAGGTGTGTAGAGACAGTGTAGGGCTGCTGGTGTGTAGAGACAGTGTAGGGCTGCAGATGTGTAGAAACAGTGTAGGGCTGCAGATGTGTAGAAACAGTGTAGGGCTGCAGGTGTGTAGAGACAGTGTACGGCTGCAGGTGTGTAGAGACAGTGTAGTGCTGCAGTTGCGTAGGGAGTGTAGGGCTGCAGGTGTGTAGAGACAGTGTAGGACTGCAGGTGTGTAGAGAGAGTATAGGGCTGCAGGTGTGTAGAAACAGTGTAGGGCTGCAGATGTGTAGAAACAGTGTAGGGCTGCAGGTGTGTAGAAACAGTGTAGGGCTGCAGGTGTGTAGAGACAGTGTAGGGCTGCAGATGTGTAGAAACAGTGTAGGGCTGCAGGTGTGTAGACACAGTGTAGGGCTGCAGGTGTGTAGAGACAGTGTAGGGCTGCAGATGTGTAGAAACAGTGTAGGGCTGCAGATGTGTAGAAACAGTGTAGGGCTGCAGGTGTGTAGAGACAGTGTAGGGCTGCAGGTGTGTAGAGACAGTGTAGGGCTGCAGGTGTGTAGAAACAGTGTAGGGCTGCAGGTGTGTAGAAACAGTGTAGGGCTGCAGATGTGTAGAAACAGTGTAGGGCTGCAAGTATGTAGAGACAATGTAGTTGAGGCGAGCGAGGACGACCTTCTCTCTCCTGTCAGTGTGGCAGGTGGTGGTCCAGTGGCTAAGAGTGGTGCCCCTGCTCAAGGCAGGGCCAGACTGGTCAACCCGTTCTCGCAAATTTAATAAATCAATATTGACTTATTAAATATGTGCATAGGTGACATACTTAACATAATAGTTTCCATTGAAAAGCTTCATAGAAAACACCGACCTTACCTAACCTACTTATTATGTTAAGATAAGCATCTTATTGCTTCGTAATTACAATTATTACCTAACCTATACCTATAATAGGTTAAGTAACAATTGTAATTACGAAGCTATAAGATGCTTATTTTAACATACTAAGTAGGTTAGGTAAGGTCGGTGTTTTCTATGAAGCTTTTCAAGGGAAACTATTATGTTTAGTATGTCACCTATGCACGCAACTAATAAGTCAATATTGACTTATTAAATTTGCGAGAACGGGTTGGACTGGTCCACTGACTTGGCCACTGAGAAAATTGTGATGTCTTTCCCAGAGAGATCAGTGGCCGCAGCTTCCGGGTAGTCCAAGATCCCCGACTTAGCCAAGATATCTGCCTGGTTATTACCCAGAATGTTGCCATGACCAGGTACCCAGATCAAGCTTGTGTTGCTGACTCCAGCTTATTAACGATGGTGGGCGGTAATTTATAAGAATTAGTGCCTCTAATACCAGAAGAGAGATGGCGGACATAGGGGAAGGGATGGAGGGTCTGAAAATATATCAAAACTACCGCAAGATGACTTTAAGAGAACATTATCTATTGCTGTGTCTATTGCAAATAAATCTATGGCCGAAGACCAATGAATGGAAAGCTATATTTGTTTATGTTTTTGTTGTTAGGAAAGATAACCACACGGCACCTGTCTCTCTCTCTCTCTGGATGTTAATGCATTTTAGGTCGATACCTGATACATGTATCATTCAAGCAGGAAGATACATCGCATCTTCCTGCTTCCGTATGTGTACTCGCCTATTTGCCTAATTGTACTCACCTAATTGTGCTTGCAAGAGTTCAGCTCTGTCTCTTTGGTCCCGCCTCTCAGCCGTCAATCAACTGGTGTACAGGTTCCTGAGCCTATTGGGCTCAATCATATCTACACTTGAAACTGTGTATGGAGTCAGCCTCCACCACATCACTACCTAATGAATTCCATTTGTCAACAACTCTGACACTAAAAGAGTTCTTTCTAATATCTGTATGTGTGTATGTGTGTGTGTGTGTGTGTACCTACCTAGTTGTGCTTGCGGAGGCTGAGCTCTGGCTCTTTGGTCCAGCCTCTCAACGGTCAATCAACTAATGTACAGGTTCCTGAGCCTACTGGACTATATCATATCTAAACATGAAGCCGAGTATGGAGTCAGCCTCCACCACATCACTCCCTAATGCATTCCATTTGTCTACTACTCCGATACTGAAAAAAAAATCTAACATCTCTATGGCTCATTTGGGCACTCAATTTCTACCTGTGACCCCTAGTGCGTGTTCCCCTTGTGTTAAAATGTGTCTTTATCTACCCTATCAATTCCTCTGAGAATCTTCTATGTGATGATCATGTCCCCATCTACTCTTGTCTTCCAATGACGTGAGGTTTAATTCCTTTAGTCTCACCTCGTAGCTCATACCCCTCAGTTCGGGTACTAGTCTGGTGGCAAACTTTTGAACATTTTCCAGTTTAGTCTTATGCTTGACTAGATACGGACTTCATGCTAGGGCCGCATACTCCAGGATTGGTCTGACATATGTGGTATATAATGTTCTGAAAAATTCCTTACACAAGTTTCTAAAGCCTGTTCTTATGTTAGCCAACCTGGTATATGCCGCTAATGTTATCCTCTTGATATAAGCTTCAAGGAATAGGTCTTGCGTGATATCAACCGCCAGGTTTTTCCTCTCTCTCTCGAAGTATTTCATCTCCCAAATGATACCTTGTATCTGGTCTCCTGCTCTCTACACCTATCTTCATTTCATTACATTTTGTGTGTGCGTGTACTCACCTATTTGTGCTCACCTATTTGTGCTTGCAGGGGTTGAGCTTTGGCTCTTTAGTCCCGCCTCTCAACTGATAATCAACTGGTGTACAGATTCCTGAGCATACTGGGCTCTGTCATATCTACATTTGAAACTGTGTATTGAGTCGCCTCCACCACATCACTGCCTAAAGCACTCCTTCTGTTAACTTCTCTGACACTGAAAAAGTTCCTCCTGACGTCCCTGTGGCTCATGTGGGTACTCAGTTTCCACCTGTGTCCCCTTGTTAGCGTGTCACCAGTGTTGAATAGTTTATCCTTGTCTACCCGGTCGATTCCCCTGAGGATTTTGTAGGTAGTGATCATGTCTCCCCTTACTCTTCTGTCTTCCAGTGTCGTAAGGCGCATTTCCCGCAGCCTTTCCTCGTAACTCATGCCTCTTTGTTCTGGGACTAGTCTAGTGGCATATCTTTGAACTTTTGTGTGTGTGTGTGTGTGTGTGTGTGTGTGTGTGTGTGTGTGTGTGTGTGTGTGTGTGTGTGTGTGTGTACTCACCTATTTGTACTCGCCTATTTGTGCTTGCAGGATCGAGCATTGACTCTTGGATCCCGCCTTTCCAGCAATCGGTTGTTTACAGCAATGACTCCTGTCCCATTTCCCTATCATACCTAGTTTTAAAAGTATGAAAAGTGTTTGCTTCCACAACCTGTTCCCAAAGTGCATTCCATTTTTCCACTACTCTCACTCTAAAAGAAAACTTCCTAACATCTCTGACTCATCTGAGTTTCCAGTTTCCACCCATGTCCCCTCGTTCTGTTATTATTACGTGTGAACATTTCATCTATTTCCACTTTGTCAATTCCTCTGAGTATTTTATATGTCCCTATCATATCTCCTCTCTCCCTTCTTTTCTCTAGTGTCGTAAGGTTCAGTTCCTGCAGACGCTCTTCATATCCCATCCCTCGTAACTCTGGGACAAGCCTCGTTGCAAACCTCTGGACCTTCTCCAGTTTCTTTGTGTTTCTTCAGGTGGGGGCTCCATGATGGCGCGGCATACTCTAAGACGGGTCTCACGTAGGCAGTGTAAAGTGCCCTAAAAGCCTCCTCATTTAGGTTTCTGAATGAAGTTCTAATTTTCGCCAGTGTAGAGTACGCTGCTGTCGTTATCCTATTTATATGTGCCTCAGGAGTTAGATTAGGTGTCACATCCACTCCCAGGTCTCTTTCTCGAATCGTTACAGGTAGGCTGTTCCCCTTCATTGTGTACTGTCCCTTTGGTCTCCTATCACCTGATCCCACTTTCATAACTTTACATTTACTGGTGTTAAACTCCATTAGCCATTTCCCTGACCATCTCTGCAACCTGTTTAAGTCCTCTTGGAGGATCCTACAATCCTCGTCTGTCACAACTCTTCTCATTAATTTTGCGTCATCCGCAAACATTTACATGTATGATTCCACTCCTGTAAACATATCATTTACGTTAATTAGAAAGAGGATTGGTCCCAGCACCGATCCTTGAGGTACTCCACTTGTTACTGTTCGCCAGTCCGACTTCTCGCCCCTTACCATTACCCTCTGGCTCCTTCCTGTTAGGTAGTTTTTCACCCATACTAGGGCCTTTCCGCTTACTCCTGCCTGCCTCTCAAGTTTGTATAGCAGTCTCATGTGCGGTACTGTATCAAAGGCCTTTTGGCAGTCAAGAAATATGCAGTCTGCCCAGCCTTCTCTGTCCTGCCTTATCCTTGTTACTTTATCATAGAATTCTAAAAGGTTTGTTAGGCATGATTTCCCTGTCCAGAACCCATGTTGGTGCTTGTTTACAAACCGAATGCTCTCCAGGTGCTCAACAAGTCTTAGCCAAATTATTCTTTCAAGTATTTTGCAGGGGATGCTTGTCAGTGATACGGATCTGTAGTTAAGTGCCTTCTCCCTATCACCTTTCTTGAAAATCGGTACGACATTTGCCTCCTTCCAGCAACTGGGCAATTCTCCCGACATAAGTGACTCATTAAAGATCATTGCCAGAGGCACGCTGAGAGCCTGCGCTGCCTCTAAGTATCCACGGTGATACTTTGTCTGGTCCAACAGCTTTATTTGCATCCAGTGTTGTCAACTGTTTCATTACCTCCTCTGCTGTCACCTCTGTATCTGATAGTCTTACATCTAGGGTAATCGCTTCTAACAATGGGAGCTGCTCAGGCTCGGTTGTGAACACTCCATGGAATTTTGCATTCAGTACCGCGCAGATTTCCTTGTCGCTTTCTGTATATGCCCCTTCTATTTTCCTCAGTCTTGTCACTTGGTCATTTACCGACATCTTCCTTCTTATACGGCTATGTAGTAGTTTAGGTTGCTTTTTCGCTTTGACTGCAATATCAATCTCATAATTTCTTTCTGACACTCGTCTTATGTTAATGTAATCATTCCTAGCTCTGTTACATCTAATCATGTTGTCCTCTGTCCTTTGTCTTCTGTACTTCCTCCACTCCCTCCTGCTTCTCGCCTTTGCTTCCTGACACTGTCTATTAAACCATGGGTTATTATATTCCCTCCTGCTTTTTTCCTTTATTGTTGGAATAAATCTCTCTTCAGCCTCCTTGCATTTCAATATGACTTGGTTCATCATACCTTGCACTGTTTTTTCCTCTAAGTGTCGTAAGGGGTGTGTGTGTGTGTGTGTGTGTGTGTGTGTGTGTGTGTGTGTGTACTCACCTATTTGTACTCACCTATTTGTGCTTGCGGGGGTTGAGCTTTGGCTCTTTGGTTCCGCCTCTCAACTGTCATTCAACTGATGTACAGATTCCTGAGCCTACTGGGCTCTATCATATCTACATTTAAAACTGTGTATGGAGTCAGCCTCCACCATATCACTGCCTAATGCATTCCATCTGTTAACTACTCTGACACTGAAAAAGTTCCTTCTAATATCTCTGTGGTTCATGTGGGTACTCAGTTTCCACCTGTGTCCCCTTGTTTGCGTTCCAGCAGTGTTGAATAGTTTATCCTTGTTTACCCGGTCGATTATCCTGAGGATTTTGTAGGTTGTGATCATGTCTCCCCTTAGTCTTCTGTTTTCCAGTGTCGTAAGGTGTGTGTGTGTGTGTGTGTGTGTGTACTCACCTAG